TCTTTACATATAAGGCTAAAAGACATATAAGAGATGTTATAACAACGTTTATTTATAAAATTTGTATAAATAATATTGACATGAATATGTTTTATTTTCTAACTAATGCACATATTATAAATCGTTACGGAACAATTTCAACATTCACCTGATTAACAATTGTTTTATTCACTGCCGTTTCACCTTCACATTGTACACTTACCAAAGCATTATATACGCCATAACTATAAGTTACCGTTATCGTGCAATTCTTACGGTCACTTCTATAGTCGGAAACAGTAATTTCATAAGAATACACTTCATTAGGTATGAATTTAAAAGCAGCCTCTACTTCGCGCGCTCTGACAAAGAAAACAACGTTAAAATAAAAAAAATATATTTTAAAGATTTGGCGGGACCGTAAACCCTAAACCAACTTTGATTAATAATACAAACTTACGTATACCAATCCCCCGTAGCATCTTTAAGCTTAGTCAGACCAGCATTTAAAATTTTTACAGCATCATCAAATTCAGTGCCAGATAACTAAAATTATAGAAAATTTGTTAATAATTTGTATATAAAATCATTAAAATTTTTAACTTTTTTTGAATTGCCTCTTAACAATAAACTCGCAACAAAAACACAACGATAATTTTAAACATTTCAGAGATATGAATGTACGAAATTTTTCAAAAATAAACAGTAGAATTGCATTTAAGTTTAAAAGTTTATATATTTTTCTGTTGCACCGTTTAATATTAATTAAATGAAGAAATTGAATTAGAAACACCTAACTTATATACCCCATACCATTTTGTTAGGGACACAGTGTACGAAGTTTTTGTGCCCTACACTACTTTATATTCGATTTGTGCTGATGTTTGAAAAGCATAGAGTTAATGGTTTTCGAGTCTGCTAAGCCATGTCCGCCCGCCCGTTTGTCTGTTTGTCCATGTAACTTTGTAATCAAACTACAGTTCGCAATTTGACTGCAAAATTTCATAATGATCAGGCCTTTTTTGACCCTAGTCCCCTACAAAGACAAATGGCTTAAATGTCGTTAATTTCTTTATATACACTTGCTAAGTAACATTGTAACTTGATGAAGTTCGGCATAACTAATTTTAGTTAGTTAGTTAGTTAGTTAGTTTAGTTAGTTAGTTTTAGTTAGTTAGTTCGTTTTAGTTAGTTCGTTAGTTAGTTAGTTAGTTAGTTCGTTAGTTCGTTAGTTAGTTCGTTAGTTAGTTAGTTAGTTTGTTAGTAGTTCGTTCGTTAGTTCGTTTTCGTTCGTTAGTTGTTCGTTAGTTCGTTCGTTCGTTCGTTGTTCGTTGTTCGTTCGTTAGTTCGTTCGTTAGTTCGTTCGTTCGTTCGTTAGTTCGTTCGTTCGTTCGTTCGTTCGTTCGTTCGTTCGTTCGTTCGTTCGTTCGTTGTTCGTTGTTCGTTCGTTCGTTCGTTCGTTTGTTCGTTCGTTCGTTCGTTCGTTCGTTCGTTCGTTCGTTTTCGTTCGTTCGTTGTCGTTCGTTCGTTCGTTCGTTCGTTTCGTTCGTTCGTTCGTTCGTTCGTTCGTTCGTTTTTTGTTCGTTCGTTCGTTCGTTCGTTCGTTCGTTCGTTCGTTCTTCGTTCGTTCGTTTCGTTCGTTCGTTCGTTCGTTCGTTTCGTTCGTTCGTTCGTTCGTTCGTTCGTTCGTTCGTTCGTTCGTTCGTTCGTTCGTTTTTTCGTTCGTTCGTTCGTTCGTTCGTTCGTGTTCGTTCGTTCGTTCGTTCGTTCGTTCGTTCGTTCGTTCGTTCGTTTTCGTTCGTTCGTTCGTTCGTTCGTTCGTTGTTCGTTCGTTCGTTCGTTCGTTCGTTCGTTCGTTCGTTCGTTTCGTTCGTTCGTTCGTTCGTTCGTTCGTTCGTTCGTTCGTTCGTTCGTTCGTTCGTTCGTTCGTTCGTTCGTTTCGTTGTTCGTTCGTTCGTTCGTTCGTTCGTTCGTTCGTTCGTTCGTTCGTTCGTTCGTTCGTTCGTTCGTTCGTTCGTTTTCGTTCGTTCGTTCGTTCGTTCGTTTCGTTCGTTCGTTCGTTCGTTCGTTCGTTCGTTTTCGTTCGTTCGTTCGTTCGCTCTCTCTCCCCCCCCCCCCCGGCGGCGGCGCGCGCGCTCTCCCTCCCTCCCTCCCTCCCTCCCCCCTCCCTCCTCTCCCTCCTCCCTCCCTCCCTCACTCCCTCCTCCCTCCCTCCTCCCTCCCTCCCTCCCTCCCTCCCTCCCTCCTCCTCCCTCCCTCCCTCCCTCCCTCCCTCCCTCCCTCCCTCCCTCCCTCCCTCACTCCCTCCTCCTCCCTCCCTCCTCACTCCCTCCCTCCTCCTACTCCTCACTCCCTCACTCCCTACCTCACTCCCTCCCTCCCTCCCTCACTCCCTCCCTCCCTACCCTACTACTAACTAACTAACTAACTCCCTACTAACTAACTAACTAACTAACTACTAACTACTAACTAACTAACTAACTAACTAACTAACTAACTAACTAACTAACTAACTAACTAACTAACTACTAACTAACTAACTAACTAACTAACTAACTAACTAACTAACTAACTAACTAACTAACTAACTACTAACTAACTACTAACTAACAAACTAACTAACTAACTAACTACTACTAATAACTACCTAACTAACTACCTAACTAACTAACTACTAACTAACTCTCACTAACTAACTAACTAACTAACTAACTAACTAACTAACTAACGAACTAACTCTAAACGACTAACTACTAACTCACTACTAACTAACTACTAACGAACTACTACTACTAACTAACTAACTAAATACTACAACTAACTAACTAACTACTAACTAACTAACTAACTAACTAACTACTAACTAACTCAACTAACGAACTAACTACTAATAACTAACTAACTAACAACTACTAACTAACTACTAACAACTAACTACGAACTAACTAACTAACACTAACGACTACTACTAACTAACAACTACTACTACTACTACTAACTACTACTAACTAACTAACTAACTAACTAACTACCTAACTAACTACTAATACCTAACTAACTAGACTAACTACTAACTAATAACTAACAACTAACTAACTACTAACTAACTAACTAATCCTAACTAACTAACTAATAACTAACTAACTAACTAACTAACTAACTAACTAACTAACTAACTAACTAACTAACTACTAACTAACTAACTAACTACTACTAACTAACTACTACTACTAAAATTAGTTATGCCGAACTTCATCAAGTTACAATGTTTACTTAGCAAGTGTATATAAAGAAATTAACGACATTTAAGCCATTTGTCTTTGTAGGGGACTAGGGTCAAAAAAGGCCTGATCATTATGAAATTTTGCAGTCAAATTGCGAACTGTAGTTTGATTACAAAGTTTACATGGACAAACAGACAAACGGGCGGGCGGACATGGCTTAGCAGACTCGAAAACCATTAACTCTATGCTTTTCAAACATCAGCACAAATCGAATATAAAGTAGTGTAGGGCACAAAAACTTCGTACACTGTGTCCCTAACAAAATGGTATGGGGTATATAAGTTAGGTGTTTCTAATTCAATTTCTTCATTTAATTAATATTAAACGGTGCAACAGAAAAATATATAAACTTTTAAACTTAAATGCAATTCTACTGTTTATTTTTGAAAAATTTCGTACATTCATATCTCTGAAATGTTTAAAATTATCGTTTGTGTTTTTGTTGCGAGTTTATTGTTAAGAGGCAATTCAAAAAAAGTTAAAAATTTTAATGATTTTATATACAAATTATTAACAAATTTTCTATAATTTTAGTTATCTGGCACTGAATTTGATGATGCTGTAAAAATTTTAAATGCTGGTCTGACTAAGCTTAAAGATGCTACGGGGGATTGGTATACGTAAGTTTGTATTATTAATCAAAGTTGGTTTAGGGTTTACGGTCCCGCCAAATCTTTAAATATATATTTATTTTTTATTTTAACGTTGTTTTTCTTTGTCAGAGCGCGCGAAGTAGAGGCTGCTTTTAAATTCATACCTAATGAAGTGTATTCTTATGAAATTACTGTTTCCGACTATAGAAGTGACCGTAAGAATTGCACGATAACGGTAACTTATAGTTATGGCGTATATAATGCTTTGGTAAGTGTACAATGTGAAGGTGAAACGGCAGTGAATAAAACAATTGTTAATCAGGTGAATGTTGAAATTGTTCCGTAACGATTTATAATATGTGCATTAGTTAGAAAATAAAACATATTCATGTCAATATTATTTATACAAATTTTATAAATAAACGTTGTTATAACATCTCTTATATGTCTTTTAGCCTTATATGTAAAGAATAGGCTAAGAGATCACGTAAACCTATGATAATGGGGAAATTTTGAAATTTGTTTCAACGTAGCTTAATCTTTAGAAAAGTATAATTTAGGTCCTGGGCTAAGAAGTCTCAAATATGTGAAGTTTTTGGGCAAATTCTGAGTTCAGATTCAAATTCAGCGCAGCTCAATTAGAATACTATACTCTGGTCTCTGGGTTAAACATTTGTTGGAAAGAGCGCTATTTTATGATACTACGAATATTATATACCATTCACGTTAGCGTATTTTCAAACAAATAAGAAAGTATACTTGACCATGGCAGACCATATAATACCCTATAGCAGTAAGTTCTGCCTATTTTTTATGGGGGCTTGACTTAGTCCTGGCGTCAAATTTCATCAAATTATATGAAAATTGTTACACATGGACGGTCGACCGGATATATATCGTTATTTAGAAATAATAAGGTGGGGGCCCTGAGTTACAAACATCGGCATAAACAGGTTATATCCTACCCACTATAGTGGTGTTTCTAATTAAAATTTATTCCTTTAATTAGAAGTTAATTGTACAACAAAATAACTTCTATTTTCTGAATATATGTATGTTACGGTATAATACCTATATTAACATCATTATCGATTGTTTCAGCTACTGTCCTATCACCTTCACAATTTATTACTGCCAAAGCATCATAAACACCAGTACTATATGTTACCGTTATCGTGCATTTCTTGCGGTCATTTGTGTCGTCCGAAAGAGTAGCTTCATAAGAATAAACTTCATCAGGTATGAATTTGAAAGCAGACTTTACTTCGCGGGCTCTGGCAAAACAAAAAAGAAGAATATTAAAATCAATTTTTGTGCCTTTTGTAGGTTAGAAATTCGTATTCTAGTCTGTCAGATCGGAGGTCGTGGGTTCGATTCGTAAGTGCACAATGAAGACCTCAATGTATTTCTTCGGATTTGATGTAATATACACATTTCTTTCAAACTAATGATCTAAGTAATTTTTAAATAAATTTTTTATGCGTGGAAGTAATATAGTCGGTCTTGGCTGATCTTATAATACCCTATTAGTACATTTATAGTAAATTCGTGATTCTCAAGGTATTAAGCAGGATTTCCTTATTGCATATTGTAGCAATTTTTAATGCTACAATTTTTAATACAAAAAAAGGTTTTTTAAATTCCAGATAAAATTGCACTAAAAATTCGTCACAAACTTACGTATACAAATTCCCTGTTACATTTTCAAGCTTCAATAAAGTTGCATTTAAAACTTTTACAGCATTATCGTATTCAATGCCAGATAACTAAAATTATAGAAAATAATTAACTTTATAATTTGTATAAAAAATCATTAAAATTTTTAACTTTTTCTGTATTGATCTTTAATAAAAACGCCACAAAGAATAAAGAAACAATAATTTTAAACATTTCAGATACATATGAATGTTTAAATAAACAGCGGATTTGCTTTTAAGTTTTTATATAAAATTTTTGTATTGTGCCATTTAATTTTAATTAAACGAAGAAATTTTAATTGGAAACACGCAATTTTTAATAACATACAGCACTATAGTGGGATAAGTATATTGTAACTCAGTTTAAAATGTCGATCCCACATACATCTTAATATATAGCGATCGATTCAGAATTACTTCCAGTTTGTATTTAACGCCCATGTAATGTTGTCCATGTAAAGAGTACAGGCCAACCTGTCTTTTGATATACCTTTACCGCAGCATAGAAGTTAAGTTCTAAATTGAATTGTTCAAGATTTGGGTTCCAGAGATATATAAGGCCTCCAAACATTGATTTTCAATATACAATCTTACCGACAGATTCTTATTTATAAGAATTTAGAATAAAAACATATATATAATAGGGCATGGCCGATCATATGATACCCTACACCAGTGATTATGTTAAAAATGTTTTTTAATAATATTTAATTTAATTTTTACCTTAATTCAGAAATATTTTAACAGTTTATTGACAAAAGAGGTAAATTTTAAAAGAGGATTAAATGAGGGGCAGGGGGGTTAATATGGTCCTATCCTTATAAATTTTGGTAGAGAAATTTACGTCTACATTAGTTTCTTATGCAGAATATTATCGTTATACTAGTGTTTATAAGTGAATTTTGACAATCAACTCATTTTCTGAAAAGGACTTCGTATGGGGATAGGATAAAATGAGGCCCGATCATTACAAAAATCAGCAGTATCATTTAGACTTATATAAAACTAGGTTTTGCCGATTTTTGAAGTGATACAAGAACATTTCATATATTTATGAGCTCAAAAGCCATATTCGGGGAGTAATGGGCCGATTTTATCTTTTTTTCATTTTTCGTCCTTGAGCCAAAAGAAGAGTATGTGTCAAATTTCATCAAATTGTCTTGAAAATTGTGACCTGTAGAGTGCGCATAAAGTTTACATGGACACACAGACAGACAGACGGACGGACATAGTACACCGATCGGCTAAGTGATTCTGAGCCGATTGGTATACTTTAAGGTGGGTGTAGGACCAATATTTTTGTCAACAGAAACGCATAATATCCCTTCCCACTATAGTGATGTAGGGTATAACAATGTATTACTAATGACAAAGATCTTGTTCCTTAAAAACTCTTAAGAAGTATTTTAAAAACTCTAAAACGTTCCACAGAATGGGTTCCAAAACTAATCACATCATTACTAGCTACCAGGTTGCTGTTAAGAATCTGAAATTCTTTTGTTTGCAATAATTTCAGAATTAACTTTTAATTCTAAAATGTTTCCTGGGTCGCAAAGGAATATTTTACGTTACTAATTAATTATATGAGCTAAATTTTTTCTAAACGCTTAATAATCATAAAGTAAATAAAATTGTAAAAATTAAATTATGATTACTTTAGTCTTTAACAAATATCAAGTAGAAATGTATAAAATAATAATTTGTATTTTCCTTGCCATAATTATATCAGAAGTTAGAGACCAAAAAGTAAGTTACTACAAGATCTGAGATGATCTGAAGTGTACATTAAAACAAATTTGAATTAAACTAAAATTCTCTGCCAGTTAAATGGTGACAAATATTCTGAAGCTGTGGACTTACTTAATAATGTTCTGTATCAATTGCGCCGCAGAAATGGACCTTATTTAACGTATGTTCTTATTTTGAGTAGATTTCCATATCGTATAATCATAATAATACACTATTTTCGTTCTTTTCTTTGAAAGTCTTATAGGTGTCGAAGCTGCTTATTATTATATACCACAAATCGACTATAGTTTCGATACGGTTATGTTGCTGCCAGGTGGTAATGTTTTTATCGAAATGTGTACAGTGGAAATAACATTAAATCTACTTGAGAAAAAAACTACTTTAATTATAATTACTTGTAATGGCCAGGAATCGGCTAGACAAGTATTAAATGGCACCATTGAAGTTTGAATAAAATTATGCTTTTTACAAATTCTTTATTTCGAAAATTTTTCGAAATCTGTTAAAGTTAGGGAACTCATTATAATTTAAACAAAATTTCAAAATAATATTTTATCAGAGTAAAATTATAGTTCTAATTTAAAGTAAAAAATACCAAAAATTTTGAATTTTTGAACCCCTCATTCATATCTATGTATGTCCCCCAGAAGAAAAATGTCTATAAATGCAAAATATTTTTATAATTTTATTAAAAAATCCAAGGAAATCTGAGAGGGAGTCTAGTAATTGCGGATATTTACTATTATATAAATGTAAAGTAATTGGACTTACCTCTTTTTAACAAATTCGACTTCGCCTTCAATATTCAATTTTAAATTTCTGATGGAACTTTTATACATTATACAAATGTTATACATATTTTTACACACTTTTAATTCAAATTATAGATTTAATACTAAATTTACAAAATTTTTTTTCATAAATTTCTAAATTAATTTTAATTTTTTAATAAAAAACACTTTATTTTTATATTAAATAGATCTGGCAAACACATTATATGTAGATTTACTTTTACACATACATACATAATTTTATTTTTTGTTAAAAACAGGCCATAGTGTGGCAAATGCCATCTTTAATTTAATTTTAAACTTTATATTATTAAATTTCCGCTAAATATTAAAACTTACTTCGAACACCTTTCTTAATATTTCCTAGCTTTCATATAAAAGCTTTTAATTTATGGATAGTGGTGCCATCTTAACTTAACTTTTAGCTAATTCCTTCATTTACTTGTTTGCTTTTTACTTCTTAATAAAAGCTTAAACAAAAACAATTTAACACACACATCCATTTTATATCCACACACAATACGACGAATCCCACGAACTAACGAACAGCCACAACAAAAGAAAAAGCGACCGGCTTTGCAATTTATTAAAATTAGACTTTAAACACTTTTTCACTAATTTCTTAATTATTTTTTGCCAATTTTTTTAATGAAAAATGTTAAGTAAATGTTTCTTAACATTTTTATGCAAAAATTACAACATTTTATTCACTTTTAACAAAATTATTTATTATTTTCACGGAGCTCAAACACTTGTCAACCGAACGGTACTAAATCTGCGCATCAACTGAAAAATTGCAAAACAATGAGAGCAAAAGCAATGCAAGCAATAGTAAGAGAAAATATGCAAGTTTAATATATAAGAGAGATATGTGGTTAGTACATACATATGTATGTTTGTACTATGTATGTATGTAAATAAATTTTTGGTTTATACATACATATGTGTAATGGACTTGCAAATCATGATTATAATTGATGTAAAAATAGTACATAGTTCTTCTGAAAATTGGAAGTATATTTATGCCAAGACATTTATGTACATACATATGTACCGTTATTATTGTATGTATTACTTTAACAATTATTTTATTATTTTTTCCTTATTACTTCTTAATCAAATTATATTATTTATATCCTTGTGCTGCTGTTTGTAAAGTATTAAAATAATATATCAATTGATATAGAATAATTTTATAAGCCGTTAATGTCCATGTAAACCTTGTAATCAAACTGATATTTGGTATCCGTAATACTTTTGGGCCAACCATATTGATTTTATTTGAAATCGGTGAACATTTCAGAAGCGTCCATACAACAGGCCCGGAAATTTGGATTTGGATTATTACAATATCAAATATGCTGTCTAGTATACAGTACAGTCCAGTCTATAGTCTAATGTATAGTCCAGTCTGGTTTATTGTCAAGTCTATAGACTAGCTTCACTTCTAGTCTATAGTCTATGATCTTGCCTATAGTATGTCCGCTTACTTTTTTCAAATTCGTCACCTTTAGGGAATGAACGGGTAAAAACTTAAACTTTTAAACCAGTGAACATACAAACAATATTTTGGACTCCTTCATAACTTAACGAAAAAATACAAATACGAATTTTGGATATTCGGACGTTCGTACTTTTTGCATAAAACATTGTTTCCCATGATTTGTACATGTGAATGAATACTTAATGATGCACTCCCTCTATGATATTGCAACTTTTTGGAATAAAATTCCAATAGGGAGAAAAAAGTACAAAATGGGGAAAAAACAAAAAATTAGATTTTATTCAAACTCATTGACCCAATTTTAATAAAATTGGAGAAATTGGTAGATTTAGTAACACAAAAGTACTATTTTTTGGTACGTTTTCGTTCTTTAACTGGTACTTTTTGAGTTTTCTATAATATTGAACCCAGAAACATAAAATTAAGAGAGACCAGAATAATTGAGAACCCATAAAAGGGGACTTTTTGTTACTTGTTCGTTCTTTAACTGGTACCTTTTAAGTTTTCAATTATATTGAAGATAGAAGCTGAAAACTAAGCATTCAGGGACCTATGTGAATGAAAATCTAAAATGGAATATTTTCTGGTACTTTTTTGTTCTTTAACTTGTACATTTTGAATTTTCTATAATGTTGAAATTAGAAATATGAAATTAAATAAAAGATGCCTTTTGGCACTATTTCGTACATAAACTGGTAGTTAAAAAAAAACATAAAATTGGACACGCATATTCCTGATTGTATAAAAATCTGAATGAGATTAATTTCTGGTTGATAATTTAGCATGCACCATCCTTATTTAATAAAAATCTATTTAAAAGGGACTTTCTGTTACATTTTCGTCCTCCAACTGATATTTTTGGAATTTCCTCTAATATTGAGACTAGAATCAATCATTATTGATTGAACATCTATGAAATATTGAATCTAGTAACCTGTATGTTAGTCTATAAAAGGCGTTTTTATGATATTGTAGATATACAAACACAAATGTATGTATTTATATTGGACTGACTGAATTTACAATAATATTTATTTTATTCCATTACGATGATGGTAGCGAAGGACACTGGGTATAGCTAGTACATACATATTATTATAATATTAAAAAAAGACTATCTAAGTTTAGCCTAAATGGAAATGTACAGAATCAGTATTTCATTTACGGAATTTTAATTTTTTTATATAAAAAATATTTTATCTAATTAGAGTTCCACAAAAATGTGATTGCACTTACCTCTATTAAACGATTTTTTTCTTATTTGTCTTCGTCATATGCTTTAGATATTTTTTGTAACTGATTAATTTATTTTCGATATAATTTTTAAAATTTTTTAATTTATAAAACTTATTTACTACAATATTTTTTTTAATAAAAGGCCATGTTGTGGCAATGCCATCTTTAATTTAAAACAAATTGTAGAAAACAAATTTTCACAAATTGATTTATACTAAAAAACACTTTTATTCAAATCACATTACATTTTACAAATATTTTAAAACTTTTATTATTTTATTTTTTTATATTAAAAAGGCCATGGTGTGGCAAATGCCATCTTTTATTTAATTTCATTTCAAATTTTAAACTTTCGCTTTTCTTTCATTAAACTTTCCTTCAAACAAAACTCACTTTACACCAACACATTCTTACATATTTACTAGCTTTCATTTAAAAGCCTTTTATTTGTGGCTGGTGGTGCCATCTTTACTGAACTTTTAGCAATTTCCTTCATTTGCTTCTTTGCCTTTTCTTAGTAAAACCTTAAACAAAAACAATTTAACACACACATCCATTTTATATCCACACATAATACGACGAATCCCACGAACTAACGAACGGCCACAACAAAATAAAAACAACCACCTGCGTTGAAAATTTATTAAAATTAGACTTTAAACACTTTTTTCACTAATTTCTTTATTATTTATTGCAAATATTTTTAATGAAACATGTTAAGTAAATGTTTCTTTACATTTTTATGCAAAAATTACAACATTTTATTCACTTTTAACAAAATTATTTATTATTTTCACGGAGCTCAAACACTTGTCAACCGAACCGTACTAAATCTGCGCTTCAACTGAAAAATTGCAACAAGTGCAAAACAATGCAAGCAATAATAAGAGCAAATATGTATGTATGTAAGTTAAGTGAGAGAGATAATAGTAAATACATAAGTACATAAATATGTATATTACTTATATGTGCAGTTAACTTAATTTATATTAAAGGAGAAATTGGAAATTTTATATATGTATAATAGGACAGTTAAATAAACATTTTTCTAATAGGTTTACTGGAAATTAATAAGTAAAAAGTCATTTACATAATTTGTGTACATATGTACATAAATATGTATATTAGGTATGTAGGTACTATGTATTGGAATGTAAACTTTAAATTAAGAAAAAGTTCTAACTTATACCAACGAGAGTAATATTTAGGAGAATAGACAAGATTATAGGTTAGACAAGACAATATACCAGGTTATAGAATAGACTATAGTCTAGACCAACGGTTCCCAAATGGGGGTCCGCGGACCCCTAGTGGTCCGTAGTAAAATCCTAGGGGGTCCGCGAAGACGAACGAAAAAAACCATGAATAAACAATATTCTGCTTTTATATGTATGTGCAAATATCTCAAATTTTTGTGCAATAATCCCAAATTTTTTGGTGACTTTTTGAATTTTATTTTTTCGGTTGTTTATCAGGAAGAAGCTAGGCCCTACAAATTTATTGTATAACTTTTATAAATTAAAGTATTGTGTGATTTGTAATTTTTATTTCCTGTATATGTACTGAAATAATGGTTTTTATTTCAGACAAATAATACTCTGCCTTACAATTAAATTAGGGATACTGGTATTCCGGAGTATGAAGTTCAATTCAAAGACAAGCTTATTACAGATTTAAGTTTATCAAATTGTAAGCAAAAGTGTTCTTGTTTGAAAGGACTAAAATTATATATTTCCAAAACAGAGGTGACTCTTTATAAATATTCCAATCCGACGTGATACACTGATTTTAACTTGATTTTGTCGACCAATACATATTATTAAATTAACATCAGAAAATCCATAGCGTTTCGCGTAAATATGTAGCCAAAAACCATGAAGTAAAATAATTCGTTGGTATTTTAAAATTCAAATTTAAGTTCCAAATTCACAGTACTTTAACAAAGAGTTCAAATCATATATTATGCGGATAACGCATTCCGCAACAACATAGAAGAAGTCCAACTTTCTTATATTATTTTCCCGAAAACTTAGCTCACTTACTTAGTTCACCCTTTGCAATCGCAACAAATTTTTGAAACGTGACTCCTTAAGCACATGTGACAATATTTGATAAAGAAAACTTTTCGCTACCTTGAAGAAAAATGAACATGAAAGATCTCACGATCATAAAATTAAACATCATGTTAACATATCAACAAAGAAGTCATTCTATCTTCAAAACATGCAATTGAAAACCTATCTGAAATATTTGTTCAATTCACAATCAAGTTATATATTGTACCTACTAAAGTGTAGTAACAGTGATTGTGACAGATCTTTGCAGCAA